AAAAAAAAAAAAAAGAAAGAAAACTTGAATCTTTGACATTTTTCTCAACTTCCACTGCAATTGTCATCAAATCTTTCTTCATGCATGGTGTAAAATACTTTACCACAAATAAATGAGCCATTTCCTTAGAATGTACAACGTTGTACCATTACTGGATTAAACAATCAGATCATTCATTGTCCCCCCAAATCTTTCTTGAGCACCAGCTTCATCGGCACCATTGTAGGGGCTGGCTGGGGCACAAAGAGGAGCTCTCCGTGTGCATGTGCACAAATACACACATGCACAGTTACAAATGTGCACAAAAAAATACTCAGTGTGTTCTCTTCATATGCTTAACAGTTACTGCTTACGCTCCCCACTAGGTATTTAAAATGGGAAGATTCAAGAACTAATAAACATTTCTTTAGGTAAAATTCTGAAACTGTAATACTTTCCAACTCTTTAGGAAGATTCTATTTGTTAATACTTATGAATGTTTTGCCACACGTTGGTTTAACATTTATGTTACAGTCTCTAAATGTCTTACACGTGGTAGGGGACAAAGAGTAGCCCTGAGCTCCATCCCATCCCATCAAACCCTGAGACCTGCACCATAAACTGAAACAGAATCTGTAACATCAGGCACTTTAAGGAAACGACATGGCTCTAAGGCCAGAGCAAGAAATAGCTATACCTTAACTGATATATCTGAAGGATGTGTCAACCAGAAGCAGGGCAGTCAGCCTAAAATGAAAAAATTTGAGAAGCTGGCCAGGCAGATTTAGCCTCAGATATTCACTGTGCACATAACATGTACTACTCTGACCAGACGAGCTGACCTGCCCCCGAGGCAGTAGAACATGCTCGTGAGCTAGTTCTAACAGCACATTCACTAACTATTGATGAAGCTGATACCTGGTTTATACCACATCACGTCTTTCATGCGCCTTTATCCCCCAGAGCTACAACATTTCTCTTGCTTTATTGAAAAAAATCACATTTTTGAGCCTGCAAAGCTGAAAACTAAAAACTTTATGGCCTCCTGAGTTCAATCTGGGGGCTGATGTCATCTAGGGATTTTCCCTGGCCACACTCCCTTCCTCACGGCCACACAGTTGTTGCCATCAATGCTTCTCTCTTCGACTGGAAGCTCTGGGTGGGCAAAGATACGGTTCTATAAATTCATCCAGCTCTGCAGAGTTAATGAGACTTTTCATTAATAGTAAGTATTTGTATGTTCTCCCAATCTGAGAAACTATTAATACTTATGCTCTGGAATGATCAAAAATTCATCATAATAGGGCAAGTGTTTAATTAAAAAGAGGGTCACATAACATGGTTAAGAGCAGGGCTTGCTAAACTACAGCCCAGTTTGTAAATAAAGTTTTATTGGAACGCTGCCATGCCCATTCATTTATGTATTGTCTATGGGTATTTTTGTGCTTCATGGTAAGTTGAGTAGTTGGGACAGAGACCATATGGTGTGCAATGTGTAAGACATGGACTATCCGCCTCATAAAGAAAAAGTTTGCTGACCTCTGGCGCCAGCCTCCTTACGCTGTTGTGACTCCTCCTCTCATTTTATGATCGCAGGGCAGAGAGATAAAAGTGCATACCTGATAGGCTGTTGGGAGGATTCAGTGAATAAATATATAAGTGCCTGGCTCATAATCAGCACTCAAATGACTGCGGCTATGACTATCACCATCATCTTACACCTCCAGCTACAGAAGAGAGCTCCACTGGTTTGGGAATGTCACAAAAATGCAGCTTGACGTGAGAAGTGGGTCACAAGACTTATGAATAGCATGGGAAAAAATTACATAAAAAGAAGTAAATGAGAGGGAAAAATAATATTGCCAGTTTAAAAAATGTCTTTCACTTAGATGGGTATTATATTCTAAATCATCTAGATAACATTATTTTCTTGATCTAAGTATATAACCAGAATTTTACAACGTTATAAATAGAATTTACCCATCATTTTCATAAGTTAATCAAGGTAGCTAACAGATGTATTTAAAGTCAAGATTCAGATATTGAAATGGTGATTAAAAATAAAACTGCAAAATAAACTACAAAAAAATCATTTCCTAAAAATGTCTAAATACCTTCTGCTGCTGCCTCCGCTGGATGGATGAGCTCGAGCATCAAAACTGATCACGATGCCTCTCTGCTTCAGGTCACTGAACTGTTTTTCCAGGTATCTGCAAAATCCCTAAAAATACCCCATGGCTTGAAAGACTATATGTTTAACACATCTTTTATTTATATGATATAGAATAATTAACCAAAAATCAAGTTTTCTCAACTTTCTTAAGAGAACATTATAGCAGAGGGGGAAAAACCTCTTAGTAATTAAACAAACTGAACAGTAAGAAAATAACAGCTTTATTATTGTCTATCTGTCTGTATCAGGCACTGTGTCAGGTACTTAGTATCTATTATCTCTAACCCCTGATCAACTTTGCCAAGAAATGCCATTTTACAGATGAGAAAACAAAGGCTGGTTTTGTGTACCTAGTTTTAGGTACACAAGCATGAGAGCCTGGTTTTGTACCCAGGTCTGTCAGGAGGCAGCTCAGTGTAGGGCTTAAAAACAAATACTCGGGAATCAGAATCTGTGGATTTGTACTTCACTCTGACCCCTATAAGCAAAGTTCTTTAATCGCCTGGTGCCTTAGTTTCCTCTTCTGTAAAACAGGAATAACAACAGTACCCAACTCATAGGGCTGTTACAAGGAGTTAATTAATTAAAACATGCAAAGTGCTGAGAATTCAACGCCAAGTAAGTACCAGGTAAGTGTCTGCCATCATGAGCATTATTTTTATTGATACTTTCCTTCAAAGCCTTACAGAACAAACAGAACTCTGGTTGACTCTGCAAAAATGATGGTTCTTATTATTTATTTCACTTTGGCTAAAGGAAGTCTCATAAATAATATATATAACTCTAATTTTTGGTAAGGGGACACATCACACCCCCAGAATGACTTTAGAATTTTCCTTGACAAACACTGCACTGGGCATGTCTTCTGAGGTTGAGTGACACAAGGAAATAAAGACACGCGTGTATTGGTTTTGCAGGTTCCCCGGAAGGTACTCGGATGCCTGACACTCCAAGGCTTCCAGTGAAAGCACCCCTCTCCCTCCCTGGTTTACCCCTGTGCCAGACCCAGTGCTTTAGGGGGCAAAAAGCATTCAGCCATAGTCCAAAACCATCTCCAAATTCTCTAAAAATTTCCGGGGCCTGGTGAGGATGAGGACCTGAGAAAATGGCTAAGGGAAAAGGGAATGCTTATTCTAGAGAAAAGACTCAGTGGGAGAAGAGGGAGGTTTTCAGAATTGAAATATTATAAAACACAAGAATCGAGCTTGTTATATGGCTTCAAAAATTAGAACAAGTATGTAAAGGCTACAGAAAGGCAGATTTGGGCTCAAAATAATGAAACCATCTTTTAATGAGAATAGTACAAAATACAGAATGGGCTGTTTCAGAGGATAGTGAGTGCTCCATCACTGATGTGACATGGATAGATTAAGTAACTAAGAGCACATAGATCACAAATCAAGCATAAGATAGAGCAGAAATTCACTGATAAAGGGAAATTATAACCTCTATGAATGAGGCAAACAAAACTTGTCCTCCAGTTTCCATCCTGTTTCCTATGAGATGTTCTTGAATCACGTACACCTGCTTCCTAAACCTAACCAGGCAAATCTGGGGGCACAGCAGCATGAGGCTCCACATGTGAAGACCAGCAGGAAGGGTACCTACGCCACGGTGGAAGTCAGAACGGCGGACAGTGATCGCTGCATCTGCACGTCAGCACTCTGGCAGGGAACACTACCCAAGGTTAGGGTGGAAGCCTGAGTGGTCTGTTCTGGGAATCCTCTTTCCTCCAATTCTGCAGCCACTCCTAAAATTTTAGAGTCACCTGCTGCTCAGATACAACTTCCTTAACATCCTTGCCTCCTGTTATAAGCACCCCAGTATAGGCTCGATGACCACATCAGAGTGGTGGGGTTGTGAAGAAAATTATTCCAAGGGGGTGGCTGATTGAACGCGATGATCTTCAAATTATTGCTCATCTTGGTTTTCTAGGATCCTTAATACCAGAGGGTCTACTCTCAATCCTTCTAGGGGAAAGAGTGGGTGACGTAGGTCCTAAATGGAAATACATTTCATCATTCTTGGAAACTAGATGTAAATGAACACAAGAAAAAAGTGTCAAGGTTATTCTAGAATCCCTTAGATCCCCCTAACAACTAGGCCTCATAGCAGGTGGGACCAAATGGATTTTCCAAAGATAGCCACAGCCATATATCCCACCCCACATGTCTTCTTGCAATGCGATGTTCAAGTGTCTCCAGGGAAAAGTAGGTGTCTGCGTGCCCTCTCCTTGAATATGAGCCAGCCTTATGGACATACTTCTAACAAATAGAAAATGGTGGAAGTGAGTTTGCGTGACTTTCAAAGCTAGGTCATAAAAGTCAGAACAGTTTCCACCTGGCACATTCCCTCTTTCTCAGGAAGCTCCCTTAGAAACCAGCCACCATCCTGCAAGGAAGCTGAGGCCACATATGGGTGTTCCTGCCCCAGCTGAGATCCCAGCCCTCAGCCAGCAAACTGCAGGCATGTAAATGAAGGAGCCTCCAAGTGATTCCAACCTCCAACTGGCCCAGGTGATAATGAATGGAGCAGAGATGAGCTGTCCCCACTGAGCTCTTCCCAAATGACAGATCTGTGAGCAAAATAAATGTGGCTGTTGTTTTAAATCACTATGTTTTGGGTGATTTGTTACACAGCCCTAGTGACTGGAACAGGCTTCCCATACTCACTCCACTCTAAGCCTTCCCTCCAAGAAGATCTCTAGCTTAATAAGAGTTTGTGGGCAGGAGTTCCCATGTCAATTCTGTACCGTTAGATTATTGGGGTCTCGCTAGAACATGCCCGACTCTATCTTTCACACTGGGATGTACATGTGAGGCACACGTAATCATTATTAGGCAATTTTTCTAGCCTTTACTTTCCCAGAATTAAAGTGACATTCATTTTTAACAAGTCTTGAAGAAATCGTGAGAATAATCTGTTCTATTTCATTTCCCTTACAAACAGTACTTCCGATACTCAGTGGCAACTCTTCTGTTTTGTCAAAGTTTTCATCTGTATTCCTAAAAGCTGGGTCTACACTCTGACAACAAAATTCACAAATTAAGGCAAGAAAACTCAATAACAGATTCAACCCATATCATAAATTAAAACAAAATAGAATGGGCTTTTGGTAATTTTGGCAGAAAAGCTTTTCAGTGCTTGCATCCATAGAACCATGGCAAAAACTATATGACCTTAAAAGTTGGTCAGCTTCGTTGGTGCATTTGTACTGGAGTGAAAGCTCCACAAGGGAATCTGTCTGCTTTAGTCATTCTTACGTCCCCAACACCGGCACATACACAGTAGACACTCGATGAATCTGTTGAATGAATGAATGAATGGACGGACGCATGGCTATACGAGTCCTGAAACAAGTGCTGCTTCAACCAACTGGGCAAGCCTCACTTCACAGAGTACGCGGTGGGGACGCCCTGCGCCCAGCCAAGCTGATAAGACATGTCATGATTAAAACAAATTAGTTCTATCAGATACAAAAGGAACCAGGCGATGAGTTAAGAGTAACTAGGAAGGATAAAAATCTGGTACCTGTGTGGTCTGGATGATGGTCAAGTCATTCATACGAGAAATGCCTGCTCCCATAGCAGCTCGAAGGCCTGCTGTCCCAAACTCCATTCGGGCCCCGAAACATTTCTGTAGTTCCTCTGTATTACCTTCCGCTATCAGTCGTTTCACTAACTCCAAAGTCAAAGGATTCTGCAAAACAGAAATGTATAGACCAGATACAGCCAGACAAATAAGAGAAAGAAAAGTCTGAAATGTAAAAAACCCTGCAATAATTCTAACCTATGAGGGAAACAATATATACATACATATGAGCTTTTCAATTTTCTGACGCTTTTGAAATTTGAAACATGAAATCGGTTTATTTAGCACTAAAATGTATTCTTTTCTTTCCTACTAAGGTAAGCACTTTTGGAGAAATGGTAATAGAAGTTTTTAGCACAGGAGTCCAACCCCCAGGATGGGATTCCAGCCACACCACTTACCAACTAACTCTGTATGCTTGGGCAGATTACCTAGCTTCTCAAATTCTTAGTTTCCCCATCTGTACAATGGAAACAATCTAGAACCTCCCTTACACAGTTTTTAAGGTTTTAGGAGGATTATATCAAATTAATGTAAAGTATTTTTCTCTACCTGGTACTTTGTTGCAATTAAATGTTCATTTTCTTCTCTAACGCCTTCATATTTTCCCAGAGATTGACAGAATATACAATCTAAATCAAAACCTTGGCCAGGCTGGATGTCTCACACCTGTAATCCTAGCACTCTGGGGGGCTACAGCAGGAGGATGGCTTGAGCTCAGGAATTTGAGAACAGCCTGAGCAAGAGCAAGACCCCATCTCTACCAAAAATAGAAAAAAATTAGCTGGGCATGGCGGCACAGACCTGTAGTGCCAGATACTTGGGAGGTTGAGGCAGCAGAATCACTTGAGCCCAGGAGTTTGAGCCTTCAGTGGGCTATGATGATGCCACTGCACTCCAGCCTGGGCAACAGAGCAAGACTTTGTCTCAAGAAACAAATAACAACAACAAAAAAAACGCTTACTTTTCTAATGTTTTATAATTTGTACACGGCATTCATATACCTGGTCAAGTTTGAATCTTTCAATGACACCAAGAAGCAGGCAAATAACAAAAACTCCATTTTACAGATGCGGAAGCCTGAGAGATTGAGTGACCTGCTTAAGGGGCATGATAAGCACTAACCTAGTGCCTCTTCTATAACATTAACTGCTTCAAAGGGACATTAACATGAATCATTTAAGTTCATCACACATTGCTCTATTTTCTTTGTGCATCAATTGCAGATAATGTTAAGATGGGAGAAAAATAATGACAATCACATTAATTTCATGAGACTTTTAAATTATCAGTTCAGGGGAACAACAGAGAAAGAACTTTATGTTACTATTTTATAGTCATCATCCATTTAGATGAACACTCAGGAAAGATGTGGCCATGCAATTAAACTTTGAAATGCTACTGCAATAAAACCTTTATTTTTTGGAGTTAAGCCCACATTTACAGATTGTTCCAGGCTCAACAAGGATCAAGTAAGTCTCATCTTTTTTTGGTTAAGAGCAACAGGCATTAAACACAGAGCACAGTCTTACCTATCAGATTGTCAGGTGCCCCAAAGAGCTCAGATCTGGCACATAAAAGAGTCTCAATAAATGCTCGTGGAGCAAATGAGAAAACACAGACTTCACTGTCACACCCAATATCCAGGGATCCGCTCTCGTTCACGGTGTAGATTTGGGAAACCCTAATTGGCCTTTGATATCTATAAAAGACCAAGTAGCCTACGAGGAACAAAGGAGACAGAGATAAGAAGGAAAAGTCAAGAGGGGAGCAGAGATCAGAACCAGCCCTGAAAGTGACCAAAACCAACAGCAGAGAAAACAACAGGATAAAGGCACAGTGGAAATGCCAGGGCGCCCCCTGCGGTGCCTTGCCACTCAAGGAGGGGGGGATCAGATTCTTGGCTGCCATGCTTTTAGCTGCTGGGAGGGTCGCTGGAGGATGAAAGGGCTCCTTCCCACACAGGTGCCTCTCTCAAGCCAAAGAAGAAATTTTGAGAGAGGAAAGAACATGAGGAGTGGTAAAAATTCAAAAATAAAAAACGACATCCCCTCATCTTTACCCAGGCAAGTACAGTCTTTCTATATATAGATGCAACACTGCGTAGAATTTAGGATTTTTTTTTTTTTTGCTTCTAAGGGAAAATTTTATGGAAAAATGCATTACCAACTCTGACTTCAAAAGAATCCTATACTCTATAAGTTACTAAGTTATCAGAAATGGAAACATTTTCCCCACTAAGAATCAAAAAATCGCCGGGCACGGTGGCTCACGCCTGTAATCCTAGCACTCTGGGAGGCCGAGGCGGGAGTATTGCTTGAGCTCAGGCGTTCAAGACCAGCCTGAGCAAGAGCGAGACCCCGTCTCTACTAAAAAATAGAAAGAAAAGATCTGGACAACTAAAAATATATATAT